AGGTTCATCTTTCTAGAATTCAGAATGCCGAGGCCTCCTTGGTTTTTAGGTCTGGCCATATGATATTTGTGTTTTTTGGCATCGGCTTCCTAGAAAAATCTAGCCTGCACTTTCTCAAATTCAGAATGTACCCCATCCCCAAGGATAAACAAGCCCATCGCAAAGGTTGGAATCGCAGAACACGCGTTTAGTCAGCGTAAGACGAGGAACTGAAGACATGAGCTTCACTTTCCACAGATCACAAGTAGTACGCTCGTACCTTCACAAGAGAGGAGCACCTTCAGAAACAGAAACTTGGACTGAAACCTACTCCCTCCGTTCCAAAATAGATGACCCAACTTTGTATTAACTTTAATACAAAGTTGGGTCATCTATTTTGGAACGGAGGGAGTATGAAATAGTCCGATCTGCTTCTTCTACGCTGCTATTGCACCTGAAATTATAGCAGAAATGGAGATAATACTACAAGAGTATGCGGTTCCTCCTCTCTAAGTAAGGCATGAACAATCCTTTGCCTGCTGTCTTCATATTGTCTACATGACCCTTTGCTTCACGCTGATTTCTTGCCTCTTTACCGAATCATGAAGCACAGGCAATATGCTGATTTGTTTTGCTTTTCCTAAAGATGATTTTCCACCTTGCAGGTTTTCATGGGAGTTAGCGGCTTAGCACACAGCAAGATATTGACATTAGGATTTGCATCTTTTGACAGAATCTGGGAGCCTGACGATGTATACGGTGATTTTTCTTCCTTGCCGCATACGGCTCCGACGCGTACAGCCACAAGGCACATCGGCCGCTTTGCGTTAAGAGCTAAGCATCTCTACTATTTACTTAAAAAAAACGTAGTGTTCCCTCTTCTCTCTTACGTCGCCCACCTTTCGTCCATCCTTTACCTACGACCCCCCTCTCCACCGATTTTCTTGTCTCCCTCCATCGATTTTTTTACTGGTTCTCTATTTACCGGTTTTATCCTCATCTGATCGGGACAGACCAACTTTATGTTTCACATATGGTAACAAATCTCATTTTTGGTAATACAAACAAAATCAATTCACGTATTGTAATCAATATCATCTTTGGTAACACAAGAGTAGTTTTGGACAGTAATCAATCTCCTTTACTTATGTGAAAAAGTTGATAAGAATTTATGTCAATCAATCTCGGCGGCGGACAAAATTGATATTCAATCAATCCCGGGTGGTGGGGATTGGATCGTGGACAAAATAGGAAAGGATTTTTGTCAATCAATCTCAGCGATGAACGAGAGTACGCGGCCGCCCAGCTCCAACGCAGCGCTAATCTGTAGTGATCCATGCCGCTTGACATCTTGCCGCGCGACTGCAGCTCGGAGGGCGACCGGAAAATAGGGTCCTGGGTTTTCCTGGCCATCCATGCGCCGCTCACGTTACGTCGTCTCTGCTTCCCAACGGCGATCTCCATGGAGGACATCTATGCTTAGGAGGAGGACACCGTTGCGGCCTTCCATGAGCGGCTGGCTAGACATCCTCCCCGACAAGTTAAGGTCGTGTTAGGAAACTACTTCCTGTTTTCTTTTTGTTTTTGCCTACTATGGAGCGTCTGTGGAGCACGTGTTTCACTTGCTGTAGCATAACCTGCAATCTAACCTATCCACTTCTTGATTGTTGTGGTTGTAGCTTGCTCGCTTGCTCACTTGCTTGCTCGGAGTACTGCCAGATCTAAGCTCTACAAGGCTGGACTTCTGCTCGACCATGGCCCTTTCCCATGTGGCAGGGACCTCCCCTGATTGATAGTTCAGAATTCAATATAACTTTTGCATTTAATTAAGGTGCAAACATGATTTCTTACACCTGTAACTAAATCAATATGTCAGATGCTTTTTTCAGGTGTATACTTGTTAGTCTCATCCATGGGACACGATAGCCAATTCTTTTGTAAGTGCGTTGGAGCAACCAAAATTGAAGTGAGAACAACATGCTTTCTTGCTATTCCATCTTAAAATTATATCTTGTTTTTAATCAGTTTTTTGGAATCTTATTCATGAAAAATGTCTACTTTGAAAATGCAAGTTATCTGCTAATCACAGAGATATGATTGACTTACGAAGAACAGATTGCCAAAGATGTGAATGTGATGAGTTATGTAGTTCTTATACAAAAAAATTCGGAAGAGAGTTGACTTAGTTGGTTCATTTTCTTGTCTGTAGTATAATCGGTCATGTATTGAGTGATTGACATAGTAATTTAGTAATTAAAGGTCAATCCAGGAACTTCTCTACAATCAAATAGGATCAGGTATTGTACTTGTATAAAAGGTTTGGCCAAGGAATGATTCCTATTGACTTCTAGGCAAAAAGAAAACAAACGTTTGACCAAGATATAGCATGAATAGTACTTCTATTTAGCATTTGTTGGCAAATCACCGGATACAATGAAAACCATTCCCTGATTAATCTTTTTATATAAGTGCAATACTTGCTCATGTTTGATTTCATAAGTTCTGGGATTTCGGACTTCTTTGAATTACTAAACCATTTTTGAATATAGAGGGTGTGGCATCCAAGTGCTCTTATGTATTTTCGGATTGATGTACCACTATTTTATGCTCACTGAGAATAGTAATGGCAGAGCTGGATATTTTCATTTGACGTGGGAAAGAGTACACAAGTGATAGTTGTGACATGCAAACCTCTTGCAAAAAAATAGAACTCATGTGACCTTTTACCCCTGGGCTAAAAATATTTTTATTACGTAATAGGGACCTTTATTGTTCAGTAAATCTTGTTTTTGTTTGAGAGCATGATAAAAGAGGTTGCTATTGTACGGTCAAAGTGATTGATTTTTTTTTGCGGGAATCATAGTGTATTCATTCCACAGTAATAGAGTTACAATCTCCAGGGACTAGCTCACTGATACATGATGGGGATTGATTAAACCAGCATGTTGTGTTATCCCCATTCTGATCAAAAGTCGCTAAACAATGAGCAACTCTATTTTGAGAGCGAGAAATTTTAACTTTACTTTTATATCGTTGTCACTAACGAAAATGATGTGGTCTTTCATGTTCTTATTTTCCC